TGGCACGTGTTACTGGCTTGTCACCCACTCTGTTTAGAGTCATGTGTTCCTTCTCACAGTAGGGACTGAGAGGAAGTCAGCAGTTACCAGTTTTGCTCATCACAAACACAGTGAGTAACAGCACTAATTTTCTAGTTGATTTCAGCGAAGGTGGGGAAGGTGTTGGTCCCTCGGATGTTACCCACTGAGGAACAATCTCTCCTATTTAGCTCCTGCCATGAGCACCCCATTGAGCCATGGGACCAAGAACAACTATGCTATTTCTGCTGCATTATTTGTTCCAATACAGCTGCTGTCATGGATCCTTGTGTGTTACTTCCACTTACAATTCACTGAATTAATATAAAATTCATGAAGATTATATATACACAGATTAGTTATAATGTTATTCAGTTTGCAAACATTTTTCCAGTTAGAAACAACTTAGCAGTTACACCCCATAGTTTAGTAAATAATATTCAATTTGGGAATAAAATACTTATATTTCATTTTTAAAAATCATTATATCGTTTCACTAAAATGTTTTAAAATAACATTACTGTAATAGCTCTTACTTGGACCCCAACTTTTACTGTCACCTATTATTTACCATTTTGCTTTTACTTTGCAGGTATATTTTTTCAGGCTAGCACCTCTCTAATCAGCTACTTAACCCTAAAATAGGAATTTTCACAGTTCTGTTCCATTAGTCTTATCTTCACTACCTGCACACAATTTCAGACTTACCCTTCTTTGATAAATTCTCTTTTTTGACATTCATCTCTACTCAAGTTTACAAGAATAAGATGGCAATTTCTTTATCTGTATATTAATGTAATGAAGAAAATGTCTTTGAAATAAAAACTAAGAGTAACGGCATAGTGATTTCCTTAGACGTTAAGTTATTTCCATTACATGTAATGACAACTTCTAGCTCAAAGATTTTAGGTTTTTTAACATGAAAGATAATTAAAATGTCAATTAAAAAATTTAGCATACCAAATGTGACCTGTGTGTCTAAGGGCTAACAGAAAGAAAATCTAAGAGAGAAAAAGAAATCTTGGGTTTTCTTTGACTCAAATGAAGAGTCCATGTGGTATATTAATTACCCTGGTCTTGTAAACCAGAAATGTACGCGTATAGGAATTTCCCGTCACCGGAACAATGAGGTTCTCATGTGGGTAACACGAGGAGCAGAGACATCAGGCGGGTGCGTGAAGCCACAACCCTATAGACAACAGGAGAGCCAGACAGAAAGAAGCAAAATTATGGAACCGGGGCGCATGTCCAAAGAAGAGAAAATGAAAGCGCACAATTGTATGGGGTAAAAATGAGGAAAGTTAAAGCACGAAAGGAGATGCATCTTGCAGGAGACTTGCAATTACACGAGGCAAAAGAGAAGGAACAAGGAAATGTTGGCTCTCTGTGGTGGAAGAGAGAGAGCTGTCAGCACAGGACTGTGAAAAGGCAGGTGCTTCTCATGTGACTCCTCCCCTCCCTGTCCTTCCAAACAATTGCAGCTGCTCTCAGGTAACCAGGGAGGGCACCATTTGAGTGGAGCCCTAAACGAGAATAGGCAAATAAATAATTGGAGTGTATTCTTGTAAAATCTAGATCTACTGAAATGTGTGACTCCAGGGGTCCTCAGGAATTCACAGATATTATTATAGAATTCTTAGGCTCCCTTTGAGATACCCCACAGAATGGAGTCTGTATCTCAAACTCTTATTCCCCTTTATCTTTTCATGCCTTTTAAAAAATTTTCAATTACAGTTGACATTCAATATTATTTTATATTAATTTTAGATGTACAGCAAAGCGGTTAGACATTTATATAATTAAGAAGTGATCCCCCTGACTAGTCTAGTACCCACCTGGCACTAAACTTCGTCATTATCACATTACTGACTGTATTCCCTATACTTGACTTTACGTCCCCATGACTATTTTGTAACTATCAATTTGTACTTCTTAGTCCCTTTATCTTTTTCACCCCCCACCTCCGCTCCCCTCCCATCTGGCAACCATCAGAATATGCTCTGTATCTATGATTTTTTTCTGTTTAGTTTATTTTGTTCTTTAGATTCCACTTATAAGTGAAATCATGGCATTTACCTTTTGCTGTCTGACTTTCTACACTCAGCACAATACCCCTAGACCCATCCATGTTGTCACAGATGGCAAGATTTCATTCTTTTTAATGGCTGAGTTATATTCCATTTTGTATATGTGTCACCTCTTCTTTATCCATACATCCTTTCAGGGACACTCAGGTTGTCTTCATATCTTGGCTATTGTAAATAACGCTGCAATGAATGTCTGGATGAGCACATCCTCTCAAAGTAGCATTTTGGGTTTCTTCAGATAAATACCCAGAAATGGGATTACTGGGTCCTTCTTTCTCTCTTGTTACAGCCTTTGTTTTGAAGTCTATTTTGTCTGATATAAGTATCGCTACACCAGTTTTTTTTTTCTTTCTCATTTTCATGAAATAACTTTTTCCATCCCTTTACTTTCAGTCTGTGTGTCTTTTGATCTGAAGTGGTTCTCTTGTAGGCAGCATATGTAAGGGTTTTGTTTTCTTATTCATTCAGCCACCCTATGAATTTTGATTGGAGCATTTAATCCATTTTTATTTATAGTAACTGTTGATAGATATGTAGTTATTGCAATTTTATTATTCATATTATTTATTTATTATTTATTTATTTATTTATTTATTTATTTATTTATTTATTTGTCTTAAAGAAGTTCCTCTAAGATTCCTTGTAATTCTGGTTTGTGATGATAAAGTCCTTTAGATTTTTGTTGTCTGGGAAGCTCTTTATCTGTCCTTTGATTCTAAATGATAGCTTTACTGGGTAGAGTCATCTTAGTAGTAGATCCTTGTTTTTCATCACTTTGAATATTTCCTGCCAATCCCTTCTGGCCTGCAAAGTTCCTATTGAGAAATCAGCTGTGAATCTTATGGGGGATCCCTTGTAAGTAAGTAACGGCTTTTCTCTTGCTGCTTTTAAGATTCTTTCTTTGTCTTTAATCTTTGGAATTTTAATTTTGATGTGTCTTGGTGTGGGCCTCTTTGGGTTCATCTTGTTTGAGTGTCTCTGAGCTTCCTGAGCTTGTATATCCATTTCCTTTGCCAGGTTAGGAAGTTTTCCATCATTATTTCTTCATCTAGGTTTTCAATCCTTGCTCTCTCTCTTCTCCTGGGACCCCAATCATGAGAATGTTGGTACACTTGGTATTGTCTCAGGGGCCCCTTAAACTGACCTCATGATTTTGGATTCTTGTTTCTTTTTGCTGTTCTGATTGGGTGCCTTTTGCTACTTTATCTTTTAAATTGCTGATTCGATCCTCTGCTTATCTAATATACTGTTTATTCTTTGTAATGTAGTCTTCATTCAGTTATTGTCTTCTTTATTTCTGACTGTTTTTTTTATATGTTTTCTATCTCCACTTTATATTTCCTATCTCTTTGTCAAAGTTCTTCCTGAGCTCACTGAGAATTTTTATAACCAGTGTTTTCAACTCTGCATCTGGTAGAGTGCTTGTCTCGATTTTGTTTAGTTCTTATTCTGGACCTTTGTTTTGTTCTTTTATTTGGGACCTGTTTCTTTGTTTTCCCATTCTGCCTGCCTCCCTGTGTTTGTTTCTGTATATTAGGTAGGGCTGCTATGTCTCCCAGTCTTAGTTAGAGTGTACCATCTCCTCAGCTCAGTCCTCGACTCCTCCGGGTGGCCCGTGGGGCCCCACAGGACTAGTCCGCAGGGACCTCTCTCACCTCACCTCCTGCTCAGGCCTTTGCTGTGCACCCGGCTCTGGCCACACCGCCCTCCTTGCGGTCCAGCTACGCCAGGGCCGCTCCCTCCATGGAAGTGGCTGTTCCCTCTGTCCAGAGCCCAACTCCCCGATATCTACACTGCACTTCAGGGGCACTCAATACATATTCCTTGAAAGAATAGGAAAGAAGTTGAGAAGCATTTACATTAATAAAATAAAATAAAATTCTTTAGATTGACAGTCAAATTGCACTATCGCCCCATTTGAATTTTATAAATTTCTTGTGTGTAAATAACTTCTGGAAGTTTTCTGTTCTCACTGCAGTGCTTTGTACAGAAAAGTTACTTAATAAATATTTAATAACTTGTGTAATCAATTATGAAAAAAAGCTATAATTGGTCCAATTCACCTTAACTGGTGTAAACTGCTGTGCAATTATTTTAGCTCTAGACTAGTCTCTCCTAATACAGCCATTTTTTTTCTAATTGTAGCAAAGAAAAGTGAGCAAAGCTTTGCCTTGTGATGATATTGATACTTCATAAATGGTTAGGATCTTTCTTTCTATCCCACTTTTTCTATCATTAAGACTTCTTGGTAAGAATTGCAGATGCATAGCCTCAGATTTAAAAAATATATACCACCATATGAATCTATTCTTAACCTTTTTATATTAATAGTACCCCAGTTTGTGGCTGGGCACATGTAAAACACACACACACACATACACACACACACACACACACACACACATACACAGACACACAGATTCCCAGCCTCCTTTGCAATCGATGGTGATCATAAGTGATGTTCTAATCATGGGGATGTTAGCATAAGATGGCATTTAAAAGACCAGCATGTGTTCTTTCCTTTTTTTTTTTTTCATGCCCCATTTTTCATTCTGCTTTCTAGACTGAAGACGTGATGGCTGGAACTCCAGCTGCAATTTTGAATCACGAGTGGAAGGGCCATGCTGTAGGAGCTGAAGGGTGACTTAGAAAGGGTTTAGATTTCTGAGGGCTTCATGGAACCACAACCATTATAGTAACTGTTGACATTTTACCTCTGGCCTTATGTTAGGAAGAAATTTATCACATATAAGTCACTGCATTTTAGAACTCACACAACCTCAAACACAGTCCTACCTTAAACATCATAAAAACCATCTAGTGCCTGTAAATTGAAAGCTGAAACGGCCTATTGCTGCCTCATTTTAAAGAATCAGACAATAGAATGTATTTGCAATGATAATCAAAGGTCTTTATTTTCTATATTCAGTTTCTTACAATCATTTTAGGAAAATAGTTGTGTCTCCAAATATACTTTCACTGATGGAAGCTGCTGCGATCAAAGCATTCTTTGAGTGATTGTTGAAAAAAAAGTATTACTGAAAAACAAATGCTCCACTCAGTTTACATTCTACACATACTGACCATGGCATAAAAGAAGCATGGCAGAGGCAGAGGCCCGTCTCCTTCACTGGAACACAACTTCAAAAGAGAGCCTTTGGAAATGATAGATCCAAATTTGAGAGGCTGTTAATCTCATTCACAATAAAGTGTTCCTACTGATGTGGGAGTGCATGACATTTTTTGAAAAGTCTTATTTGAAGAAAATCATTTTTATTTTGTTGGCATTCTCTTAGACATTTTGAGGTTTATTTAACACAGCATTCTGTCTATTTCACATTCAAATGTGGCCACCCTGATGATCTCCTCCACTCTTCTGAATGGTTTAGTATGCTCTATAAATAAACACATCCATTTTGCTCTATTACTACCCTTCCATAAAGCCTCGTATAAGTGGAATTAACCTAGTATTTTCTTATCACTAAATATATTTTTGTTAGAAAGGATACACAGCATATGAAATTACAGGATTTTCACTATTTAAAGACAAATTTAAGAACTCTCAAATAATATTTGCAATGGAAACATCACAGTTATTACATTAGAATAAATAAATCACAATATTCATAACAGTATTTTATTTGGTTTTGACATTGAAGACGTTTCTTGAATGACTCATGTGGAACTCAAAATATAATTACTTCACGTAATCATTTTTCTTCGAAAATTCTGAAAGAGAAACAATTGGTATTTAAACATAAAAATATTTTTCTTTACAGCATCTTAGTTTCATTCACGTATCCAGTCATTTGATACACATGAAATTCTCTTTGCGCTTTGTCAACAGCCTGTGACAGGAGATTGTGCTGTGGGATATCAAAGGGCATCTTCCAAAGGACTGTTTGTCACAAATGCGACTACAATGTGAAGGGGCTCTCTGTTCAGTCTTTCATAATTACCCATTTGCCACTTTCACAAATGGTGGAGCCACAAGAATTCTGTCAAAAAAGTTTATTCAGTGCTACCCATTCAAAAAAGAAACAAAAAAAATGGAGGATGGAATCTCATAAATGATCAAACAACTTAAGAAACTGGAGTGATTTGTCCTTCTTTATGTTTTAGTGTGTAATGCATTTCTTAATTTAGTGGCTAGGACTTCTTTTTATGATCATTTTTTCAAGATGCTATGTGGAATTAGCTTTCTTTTTTTGAGCAAAGGGACTGGTTTCTCTGAAATATCCTTTTATAATAATGATGGACAGGAGCAGAGCCCCTGACCCTGTTTCTCTGTTTAGAGTAAAGGGTAATCAGTGGACAGGAGCAGCCAATGGCGCAGTGTCTTCCCAGACTCCCCATCCACTCTTAAGCTCTCTAATGAACCTGAGATATTTGCTCCAGAAACTAAACCATGAATTGTCTTCAGTCTGAGCTTGGGTCTGGTTTAAACTCCTTGACCTACTCAGATTTTGCAGTCCAGCACAAATCTTTACCTTTTACAAATAAAATTTTATTGAAAAACAGCCACTCCTATCATTTACATATTATCTATGGCTGCTTTCTTGCTACAATAGCAGAGTTTGGTACTTGTAATGGAAACTATATAGCCCACAAAGCTAAAAACATTTACTCCATAGCCCTTAGACAAAAATTTTGTCAACCTCTGATGTAATTATGATATAAAATTTCTTTTAGCATTTACCATGTATTATAAATATATTTTTATAAGCTAATGTAAACATTAAATACTCAGGAAAGAAATATGTCTTGTGTTCATTTACACATAAAAATTTGTGATAACAAGCTTATTACTTAACAAAGCATGAAACCTAGTCATGTTTTCTCTACTCAAAAATTATTTTACAGTGAATATTATTGGGGTCATAGTACCTACATTCACTTTATAAGTAAAATAACCTAAATTATACTTTTGTTGCAGGAAGTTTGCTATATTTTAAGGAAAACAATTAGACCCAGAGTGCCTTGGTATTTTCACAATAATGAGTCATGCTGTAATTTGGTGGTATTTTCCTGTACTTCAGTGAGTTGCTAGCAGTCAATTGTGGGACTAAGCCTTCAATTAATAAAAGCAGCATGGCTGGACACTCCAACGAAACCAGCGTTTCTCAATAGTGTGAGTCAGTCTCATGTGTTATATGTCAACAGAAAGATAGGAATACGACTGAGTAAACCAGGAGATACCAAACTGTTCACTCACTGTGAACTTTCTTTGTTATGTGATCAGAATTCTGCATGAATCATTTTTAGCTGTTTACTTGCTTGAGGTTCACTTCAGGTAGAAGTATCCTGAGAACTCTAAGGTGTATCTTATCAAATTACCCTTACCTACTTAAATAATTGGATGTATGCTATAAGAATATAGGAAGAATGCACAGATATACCCACCACTGGGAAGTTGTCACCAGCATTTTTCAAAGAAATTTTTCATTTTTCTAACTCATCAAGAAAGTCAGGAGATTCTCCCTCAGTGCTGAAGGCCAGAAAAAGAAAATTGTTCATGTTAAGGCTCTTAAATGAGAATGCATCTAAAGAAATAATAATCTGTGACCTATGCTATCATCTGTGCTATGTAAAGTACTCTGGGGACTAAAAAAATGATCTTTTAGGTTAGTTATTATGTATGAATTATTCTTCAGTCTTAAAGAACCTAAAATTATTCTTGCACAATTATCATCTGGTGAGCAAAGAGAGTCATCCTGTTTGATCTCACCCAACTACCTTAATACCATCAAACCAAAATAACTGGAATAAAAGGAGAGATCACCCCACTTCCTGTCTATTGTGCTGCAATATCTATACCCCCCAGAGAGACACACATTTACCAGAATCTGAGAGGACAAAAGAACCCATGGCTTAATTTGGTACAATAAGGTTTTGAATATGCACATCAAGGGAATTTCATGTGATACCAAATTGCTAATTGAATGTGCTTTGTCTGTTTTAAAAATCGGTACTTTTGATAAAACCTGTTTCCAGATTCGGACTAAATGCCTCTACACTCAATATTTTATACCCTATAGGCACAATAGAATCAACTGGGGAGCCTTAGAAAATACCAGTGTCTACAGCCATACACCTAGAGGCACAAATTTGCTGGCGATGAGTTTTGGGGAAGGCTAGACATCAGTATTTTAACTGTTCTCCAGGGTGTCTAATGGCAGCCAAGGATGAGAATTATTGCTTCTGAGTATAGATAAATAGAGAGATAAGTCTTCATTTTGTAGCTTCTTTATTTAAAGTAATTTATAATTTCTTATTTTAACAAGGTTTCCATTTCTTTACCTCCTCTTTCCATTCAGAATGGAGTTCAAGTATTTCTTTACAGCCATTTGTTTTCGAAGGCGGGTATAATTGTCAGTGAAAACAGCATCCGAGTGACGTTTGATCAGTCCCTGGTCCTCTGATACATTATTGCTAAAAATGTGAGGAAAGAGAAATCAAAGAGTTTTAACAAGAAATGATAAATATGCCGAAGTTTCCAATTTGTTGGAGTCAGATAAAAAGGAATTCCAATACCCAACTCATTTTCTATCACAAAAATACTAAAAGAAAAATACACCTAAGCCTAAAGATAGGGGATTGAGGCATAATTCAACCCATTTTGGCAATTTCTGGGTGTCTTAAGACACATTCAGTACTAACTGAGCAAATAATTTATTTAAAAAATATATAGTTGGGGGAATATTTGAAGTTGTGTTCTGCCATTCAGAGGAAAAGTTCATTAGAAATAAATGATCTTTAGAATCTATGCTACCTGAATAGTGCCATCCAAATATTCAGCTATTGGTCATTTAAAGAAAGAATCTTCCAATGCTGGTTTGTGTAGGAAGTTGAAAAACAAGTACTATGGTTAATCCTCAAATTTGCTTCAGTTTATACTATGTCTTCTTTTTTACTGTGTCTAATTTAATTTAATTGTGGATTTACAAATGATTGCTATGTACTAAAATAAGTGTGTTTGAACTAGTGAGTATGATATTATTAGAAATCTTTATTTCCTAATCCATGCCTTGCATATTTTTTGAAGAATATAAATTATATTTTAACTAAACTGATTATTATCAAGCATCATCAATTTGGAGCAAAGCAAATAAATTGTTAATAGTGAAAATATAATTTGCATATTAAATCATCATAACATGTTTGATAAAAATAGTAAATTCTCTTTACCTATCTAGTTTTCCAACAAGGGACTCAAGGTATTTTTTGGCAGAAAGTTGACCCAAGAGTCTATTAAAGTCACTGGTAAAAACTCCATCAGCACGTCTGGCATCCCTAAAACAATGAAAAAAGAATAACCAGTATTTTGAAAATAGTTTTCTAAAATAATATTTTGGCTTAATGAATAAGAAAGAAACTCATCAGCTTATTATAAAAGCTTCTGATGGAAACTTAACTCAAAAGGATGTTTCCTAACAACCTAATAAAAGATATTTTCTCATCACTTGTATCAAGATATATTCTACATTTTTAGCCCAAAATGTTGACAAATTAAAGAAATTAGCTTTTGGAGAAGTATATCTCAATATTAAAAATCCTCTCTGATAAAATCTATAAACTCATTCCACTCTAAGAAATATTGGTGGGGGATATATACTTAAATTAGTATTTATTTATTTAACTTTATTTCTTCTACCTTCAGTAAAATAGTTGCAGAGGGAAAATGTCTATTACACCTTTTGCTATTTCTTCTGCCAAAATATCTGGAAGCAAAATCTCTCAAATTGGAGAGGATCTTAGGGCCTATCAAATAATTTTTCTGTCCGAATGAGGAAGCTTTCATACTTTATCTTCAGTACAGAGCTACTCTGTCTGTACCTAAATGCTACTCTTGACAAATGGATTTGTGAATATGTAGCTTTTATTATTAGGCATCTTTTCTTTACATAGAGATGAAACGCTTGCCTGAGAACTTTCTGTATTATGGAATCCTAAATACTGAAGATTTACTAGAATTAGTACAATTTCTGATGTTGACATTTTGTACAACAGAATGTAAGTGAATGATTTGTTCATACTGGCTTATTGTAACCTCTGTACATGAAAATCATGAGCAGCTGATAGAGCTGAGGTAGTCAGGCTGGATGAAGCCACGACACATGGAAACCTGCAGTGTTATGCAGTAGGAATAGCTTCATGGAGACACAAAAATAAAACATTCATATTTCAAAAATACTTTTTCTCAAATAAAACTCAGTAAAAATGAACTCACTTGTCATTTTCAGCAAATGCATTTGGCAAGATGTCAGTATCTGCTTTTAATGAAGCTTGATCAAGTTCATTTGCTCCTTCGTATGGTATTCTGTCACCCAACATAGTAGGAAAAAGACAATTGAAGTAGAATGCATTCCTTTCTCAGAAGACTGTGCTTATGAGTTTACAATCATTTGAAATAAGACACTCAAAATCTTGGGAAGTATCACCCATTTAAAAATAGGGATAGCATAATTGACAATGGCTTCTATAGTTTATGAGAGTATTAAAAGTAAAATTTTGTTTATCTCATAATATAGATTCCGTACAACTCTTACAAGTGTATGTCCTAAGCATCAAAGCTACTGAGTTCAATCGTATCTGAGCATTAAGCAAAGTACACTTCCTTTGCAATGTCTTCACTTTGCAAAGTTAAATTCCACAAGAAGAAAGATTTTATATAAAATAGAAACTTTAAAAATTTTTAACATTCAATATGAAAACTGGAAGCAATTTATATATTTGTTGATGTTTAGCATCATTTGGCTAAAATTCTTCTTAGGGGCTGAGTATTAACTGCTTTTCTTTCTCTAAGCTCCTAAATTTTACTTCAAAGATTCACTTTAGTGTGGTGTATTTCTCTGCATTGAACAAGTCCGAAGAATCTCTCCATTTCTGAATAGTTACTTAAGTTCAATGGATTTTATGGGCCTTCTAGTTTCTATTCATATATATTAATATATTTTAATAAGGACTGAATAATGTTTCGCTGAAAGACAAAGGATAGTCATGCATATACATGGAATATGACTATACATATGAATGCATACACATTTTGAATACCAGAACACTATTAAAATTGTGTGTGTGTGTGTGTATTTTCTCTTTCACAGTAAACCTCCAAGGAATGTGTTGGCCCCTGGGCTCTTGTGTATCTTTTGGTAATGAGGTAGTTAGAATTCAGTACCAAACAGTCCTCTTTGAGTATGAAGACTAGCAATCAATGCAAACTTTAGCATTCTTGTCATTGTTCATCTGTGGTGATATAACCACTCAGACAGAGTCATTCTGTTTAGCTATCAAAGCAACATAGATCTGGCTTTAGGTAGGCTTCATGCAGAACAGTAACAGCTAAGAAATTATTCACTCTATTGACCATACATCTACCTGGAGCAAAGAACCAGGAATGGGAAAATAGCAATGAAATAATTATTTTACCCTGAAATATAGTGGTGCTTATAAACCAGGAGGAAAAATCAAACTAATGTAATTTTCATTTACTGTTTATTTCTTTAACATGAATTAATTTTATTTCAGATTCAGCTTTAAATATGATATGTGTCATAATTTATGAATTTGAAATACATCATAGGGAACAGTAAAACTAAAGATTTATCATTAAAACCAAGTACATTAAAAGTCACTCATTGGGTCAGGGTGTCTCAGTAGGGCAATTATCCCACAATTTTTATATTGGCAAATTGATTCTGCCTAGATGGAATCCAACACAATTTTGTACATGTTTCCATGTTTCATAACTATTATCTTATGACATTTACTGATTGATCATGAAAATGAACTAGAATGATGTTGACAACTAAACACCTATTTTCTATCAGAAACTGATCTGAACTGAGATGACACCGCATAAAAGCTCATTATTTATCTAAAACTGGATTTGAATAAATAGAAAGCCCAATCCTCCTTCTGCCATGTTTGGAAATGTGACCTACCCTCTCTGGAATACTTGTCATTGACACTGTCTCTCATTCCTGAGAGGGAATTCCTGGACTCAAAATAACCCTGTTGACCTTATGTTGAAAAAACTTGCTTAACACATCAACCACATATTTAAATAATACATAATTTCTAAAAAATGTGTTATTCAAAATAACAGAAAGGGAATTCTCCTTTAGATAAAGATGGAATTTCAACGATCTGAACTGAAAGAGAACTTACCTCAGAAAAGGTGCTTCCAAAAGAGGCCATGCCAGCGTTTGTGAGAAGAGCACGCTGAAAAGCGTCAGGCGCACAAGGAGCTGGGGCTTCCTTCTGGCTTCCATCTCTGAACCTCGAAAGGGAGAGAGTCACTTCAGGTTTTCCAACCACAGATGTCACCAGCAAGGGAATTCTAAGTGTCCAGCAGTAATTTCTTAAGGCTTTTCCAGGGTTTGGAAAAAGTAATGTTCATCTTATAGACAGCATTAAACTGCAATATGAACACTTTTTAAATCAAGAGGATTTCTCTTGGTGGCAGATACTTGAATACAATAGGATTCTTTTAAACTGCTGCCAACTTTCATAGGCACATAGTTGTTCTAAGTATGTACAGAATGCCACACTCTTATAGTGCTGGAGATAAACCTGGAGACCATCTCATAATAGAGTTGTGGCATTCAAGTGTACTATCTTTCCTAACAAAAGAAACAGCTTCAAAAAACTGATTTTTTTCTTCTACTTCAAGGTTTTGTATCTGATTAATATAAAACTAGGGTATCATACATTTAATAATGTGTGCATGTATGTGTATATATGTATCAGTATAAAATTGTTTTGTATATACATTTTTTCTCTTTTAATTGTAAATAGTACTGTGAACTTATTTATTTATGTCTGAGTTTGAGCAACTTACCTCAATTAATAGTGAAAATTAATACCAAAAAATCATTGAATCACATATTGCCATTGAAATATTGTTTTTCACAGAAAGAAAATTACATTAAAATCAAAGTTTGTGTTTTTTACATTGAATCCACTTACACACTATATTTATAAATAGTTTCTAGATAGAAACTTAGGAGTTCGCAGTATTTTTCTCTATGTCACATGTTGGTTATGTGAACCTAGAAATAACAGCACTTAAAAACAAGTAAAAATTTCAAAAAAACAAATGTACCCACTGAACCCTTCAGTCAAAAATTTATATACAAGGCAAAAAACAAACAAACAAACAAAACCAGAATTGAGTAAAAGAGCAAGCAGGGAAAGGATCTTTGAACCAAATGAATTCAGAAAATGCATTCAGATGTAAGAAGTTGAGACATTTCTACACTTAGCAGGTGAATTGAGAAATTTGTCTTTTTGTTGTCGTAAAGGAAGAACGCTATAAATTTCTTTTCAAGAGAGAAAAAAAATCAATATACCCAGAGAAAAGTTCCAGAGGCAGGAAGAGATAAAAAGAAGAAAGGTTAGGTTTTCACTTACCTTGCCTCTGAGTGACCCTCCAAGGCGTTCTGTTCAGGAGAATATTGGAGCTGTCTCAGGTGCTGAAGTCCTGTGAGGCTGAGAAAGGCTCCACCAGTTCTCTGCCCTTAGAGCTGAACCAGAATTTGGTCTTGGCTAAGGGTTGGCTATTGTTGCCAGCAGCTGCTTTTCACTCCACCCTGACCAGCATTTCAAAGACCATCATTTTATAGGGATTGTACTTAGGGCTGAGCAATCACAAAGCTTTCTGAAATACGTCACAGCTGTGCTCCCATGGGATGACTAGGACAAGAAGTTCTTGTTTAATTGTCATTATGTCTGATTTATATAAATATATAGTGAGTAAGTTTAAGATGTAAAAGAGAGGAAATTTACTTTTCTTTAAACAAAAACAGATACCAAGCGTAATGTGAAGTATTTTAATCTTTATTTAGCAGTAATAAAATAAGAGAATGATGAATGTTATAGCCACGGCCACTACGGTTCCTTCAGAAAATAAGAAATTTATCTGCAGAACTAGATTCAGAAAACAACAAACACTTATGTCCATGATGCTTACAAATGTATGATTACCTTTATTACAAGCACCAATTCTCCTAAAGTCGCCTTCTTATTTTTATGCTATCTATGTAGATCCTGGTTTATGTCATCTTTCTGAGATCTATTGTAATTTTAAAAACACCTAGAAGAAATTTTCCATCTTTCTATTATTATATTTTCTTTATGTTGAAACTAATCCCAGTGTAAGAGTTTCAAAAAGGCTCAGTGCTTGTGTAACATGCACACTGGTGGGAGAGTACTGCTGTAGAATGTCACCATTCCCAATACACTTTCACATACAGAATCTCAGAAATGAAATTATCAGACTTCTACCTCAAGGGTATTATATTTATCTTTTCTTTTAAAAATTATACCCATTTTTAAATGTTCTTGTGCTACACAGAGTAATTTTGTTTCTCCCCTAGTCTCAAACACACTCCCATACCCACAGCACCTTTTGAAGATTTCCAACTCAGTCACTTGACAGATGGTTGCAAAGAACTAGTTGGAAAACATTTATAGAGTAATGAGCTTTGATAACTACTTAATTTCCATTTCTCAGTTTTTTACTCAAAGTAGCTTAGTTAGTATACAGTACATCCAGAGTTTAAGCTACAAATGCCATCACATGGAAAATTCTGTGGACAACAACATAAAATGCCAGCTTTCCTTTTGTTTTTGCAAATTTCTCATGTGCATATTCTTTTACATTTTTGTTCATAAGCTCCTCTAGGAACAATGGCCCTAAAGCCCATTTCTTTCTTCTACTTTGAGATTTTGGTATCTATTTGCTTTATTCAAAGTCAGACTGATCTGTAAAAGAATATCCTGCTAGGCTTAGTCATATTTTCTAATCCCGTTACAAGAAAAATTAAATGAATTAAATTTCAAAATGTCTGGAAATTTGTTTCCCAGTTGACAGCTCTGACTTAAGCCAGAGTTCCTGTGGCTTAATTCCAGGAAATCTTTTTTTTTTTTACCTGATTATTACAAACTAGAGGTTAAAAAGGTTCTCATGATTTTGTTTTTATCTTTAGCTTTTCATCACCCAATTCTCAGTGAAGCATTTAAGAACAGCAACAGCAAAGTAAGTTGGTTCAGAGTCACAGAAAAAAGGATGATAAACAATAAATAGAAAAAAAACCCAAAAGAAAAAAGACATAAAAGTTGATTATTTTTGGTCTAAGGAATCACTTAGCATTCGCAAAGAGTAAATACATACAGGAGCTTTTTCGAAAGGTAAAGACAGTTTTTTCCATAATATTAAAATGCAAAAGTAAAGAGAAATAATTTTTTTAACCTCTGGATAAAAAGAAACTAAAAAAACTTCATTTTTCCTATGAATTTAAACTAGAAAGCAAAGCTGAATTTTAAAATGGAATCATAGCACCATCTGCAGGTTCAAAGTTTTAATTCAAAAATATTTTATTTTATTGTTATTATTTTTTTAATTAAAGTTTATTATTTTTTTATTAGTATAAGACCCTATGTCTCTTTCAAAATTTTTATTAAATTTATTGAGGTGACACTGGTTAGTAAATTATATAGATTTAACATGTACAATTCTGTAATACATCATCTATATATTGCATCGTGTGTTCACCACCTAGAGTCTGTTCTTCTATTGCCATATATTTGACCCCTTTTCTCTCTTCTACCAACCCCTCTTCCTTCCCCCACCAGTAACCACTAAACACTTGTCTGTGTCTATGAGTTTTTGTTTGTTTGTTTGTCTTCTCTGTTTGACACTTTCAGTTTTGTACCCCACATATAGATGAAATCATATGATTCTTGACTTTTCCTGTCTGGCTTATCACACTTGGCATGATAATGTCAAGATCCATCCATGTTGTTGCAAATGGCACTATTTCGTCTTTTCTTACAGCCAAGTAATATTCCACTGTGTATATATACCACATCTTCTTTATCCAATCATCTATCAAAGGACACTTTGATTGTTTCCATGTTTAGCCACTGTGAATAATGCTGCAGTGAACTTGGGGGAACATATATATTTACAGATAAATGTTTTCAGGTTTTTGGAGTAGATAGCCAGAAGAGGGATTGCTGGATTGTATGGTAATTCCATTTTTAATTTTCTGAGGAACCTCAGTATTGTTTGCCATGGTGGCTGTACCAATTTATGTTCCCCCCAGCAGTGGATGAGGGTTCCTTTTTCTCCACAACCTCTCCAACACTTGTTACTACTTACCTTGTTGATAACAGCCATTCAGAGGATGTGAGGTGGGATCTCATTGTGGTTTTGATTTGCATTTCCCTAATACCTAGTGAAGTTGAGCATCTTTTCATATATCTTTTGGCCATTTGTATGTCTTTTTGGGAGAAGTGTTTGTTCAGGTCCTGTGCCCATTTTTTAATTGGGTTGTTTGGTTTTTTTGTTGTTGTTGAGTTGTATGAATTCTTTATATATTACATATTAGCCCCTATTGAAGGTGGTGTTTACAAATATCTTCTCTCATTAGGTTGGTTGCCTCTCTATTTTTGTCGATGGTATAATTTTATGTGCAGAAGCTTTTTAGTTAGATATAGTCCCGTTCATTTATTTTTGCTTGTACTTCTCTTGCCTTTGAGGTCAAATTTATAAAAGCCTCCCTGAACTCAACTCAAGGTCCATATGTTTAGTACCTATGCAAGTTATTATTTCAGGTTTTATGTTTAGGTGTTTGATCCATTTTGAGTTAATTTTGGTATGTGGTAACAGATAGCAGTCTAGTTTAATTTTTTTGCATGTGGTTTTCCAATTTTCCCAGCAGCATTTATGGAAAGACTTTTTAAAATCCATTGTATGCTTTCATCTCCTTTGTCAAAAATTATCTGCCCATATATATGTGAGTTTCATTCTGTGTTCTCAGTTCTATTCATTGGTCTGTTTGTCTGTTTTTCTGTCAATGCTGTGTTTTTTAAATTAAGTCATTTTGTAGTATAATTGAAGTCAGGGAGTGTGATACTTTGGTCTTGTTCTTTTTTTTCTGGATTGCTTTGACAATGTGGGGCTTTTTGTGATTCCATACAAATCTGATTATTTTTTTTTGGTTCTACATCTTTAAAAAATGCCATTGGGTGCTCGCTTCAGCAGCACATATACTAAAACTTGGAACGATACAGAGAAGATTAGCATGGCACCTGCGCAAGGATGACACGCAAATTCGTGAAGCGTTCCATATTTTAAAAAAAATGCCATTGGAATTTTGATGGGGATTACATTAAATCTACATATTGCTCTGAGAAATATGGCCATTTTAACTATGTGGATTCATCCAATCCATGAACACAGAATATCTTTCCATTTCTTTGTGTCCTCTTCAATTTCTTTTAATAATGTCTTATAGTTTCAGTGTATAGGTCCTTCACATCCTTTGGTAAG